TAGCACGCAATAAAATGCATGGAACTCAAACCTATGCTTGGCTGATTCAATTATAGATTCACGAATTCGACAAAATCCGATACTTTAATATAATACATTATATATATGCAAAGAGAAAATATAAATAGAGTTAGATATGTATATATTTTCGAACTCATCTCTTAATTTAAAATTTACAATTTGAATTTGCCAATATATATATATATATATATGTCGATTTTAAAGATCCACTCGCCACAAATTATACTATATAGATTATAGAGAACATGAACATGATACCAAATTAACTAAACTAATAAAGCTTAGGTTATATCCATCTCTATAGAATTCGAAGGGGCGTTAGGTGGGGGAAGGTTGACATTAGGATGGATAAAAAGCCACTAAACTGTTCAAAGATCTATGTATTAAAAATAATATCACATCTGAAAAAAAAAGAGAAGCTTTATTAGTTACTTACAAGAAAAGACAAAACCTAAAAAAGAAAAGGACATACTAGTAAAGAAGCACTGGATTTTGGTGGATATAATGTGCAGTTTATTGTTTCACACGATATCAACTTAGCCAAAACCCAAAAACCATGTCTTTTCATGCTCTTCAGAGGACTGAAACAATAAAAAATAATATAAGTTATATACATTAAAAGGGCCGTTTACCGAGATTAGGATATAATCTCGTCGTAGAGTTTGAGATCACATTTATTTCGTATTTAGTTATTGGTATTAGCTAAATCGATATAAGCTTATATCAAAATTTTGGTACTATCTATTTTAGAATATCTTTTTCCAAACCAAACGATCCCTAATAGTGCAATGAAACTTTTACGTCACCGGTGTTATTTAATAAATTATAACATATTATATCAGTTTTAACATATTATTTGCATATTATTTTCAGTTATCAATCAATTTTATTAAACAAAATTATTTGCTATTATCTTTTGAGTGACCCATATATATAAATATTGTTTTACATCGCCAATACAAGCATAAAATTACACTTCATTGCATTTTTTAAACTACTAATATTATTGAAGTCAAAATTAGATCATTGCTGAGCTAGAAACATAAGGAAAGAGCAGCAAAGTAGTTAAAAGAGTTGCATGATGTGTGTCTATATATATATNCTTATTTGTTGTTTGGATGTTAATTTGTGCGATAATTGAGCCTCATTGAGTTTATTTTACGTGTAGGAATACTTGGACATGAATTGAAAAAAAAAGTTACACGAAATGGTACCTCGAAGCTACAAAATAGAGCAATAAAAAAAGACGTTGCAAAGCAATAAAAAGTCACAGCCTTAGACAGTGCAAGGCTTTGTCCGGGACATTGTCATTGGCATCTCTGATGGCGCCTCGTGGGGTAATGTTGGTGCCTTTAATGGCGCCGCGGGGTAATGTTGGCGCCTCTGACAATGCCCCGCGCCGACGATGCTTATCCAAGCCACTTTTGGACGTGTAGACCTCAACCCTACCTTATAAATACTTTCTAAACTTAGTTTTTAGAGGGGAGGACATGATTGGAGAGGCAAAAGGCTACGGAACACTTGGAAGCAATGATTCACAAGAGTTTTCTCTTCTGTTCTTCCTTATTCTGTATTTTAATGCTTTCAATTATTATCATGATTGTTAGTACGGTTATGAGTAGCTAAACTTTCTCATCTAGGGTTTGATGAAACCTCTTGGAGGATGACTTTTAATTAATTTTAATATGATCTAGCCTTTGAATTTCTCTACTTGTTTAACCACATGCTTATTTCAGTTGATTGAATGATCATCGAATGACTGTGCCTATTTAGTGTGTATTGCTTGAGAAATGGTACATATTTAGGTAGTTGTTGAACAACATCACTCCTAACGTATGTGAGAAATCAATACGGTAATGAAACCTTGGTGTGATATTAGTGAGCGGTGAACTAGTGCCAGCTAGCGTAGTTCGAGAGAGAATTACGGTACCTGAAGTGCTCACGATCAGTAGAGGATACTTAGGCGATATTATAGGAGACATAGGAGGAAGGATTCCGACAATTGGGGAAATCATACCTCTAGGCCTCCTTAATCTTGTCCCCAAAACCTTAATATCTTTAATTGTTAATTTACTATTTTAATTTGCTAGTTAATTAGTAAGAAAACAGAATCTTAATATTTATAAATTAGGAATTGTTCGAGCTTGTATTCTTAGTGATACTTAACAGTTACAACAAAACCTTAGTTCTATGTGAGATTCGACTCCAAACTTTTAAACCAGATTATATTTGCAGCGACTGCATATTCTTACTAGCACTAGAGTTGGGCGTGATCACTAGCTCTTTTATTTATTTGGTAGGCAGGTGGCTTCTTTCTATTGCCTTTTGAAAATATTAGTAATGTAGTTATAACTTTTCTTTCAAATTTTTATCACCATAATAAGACCATGCTCGCACTAATGGAGTGGTTACTTAATTTTGTAAGCCAAGCTTAATGTATAAATATCACATACAATCCTATACTTACTAAATTATGGGGTTCGTGCACTTCACATCTACAATTAAAAAAATAGAAACCCATAAATTAGTTGCTTTGACTCATAATTAATTTTAAAGGTTTAAAAAAAGAATCATTTTCATGTATTTTTTTCTGTGATTGTACGAGGACCTTGATATCACGTCGTAATTTGAAAGTTCTTTATAATTTCATATATTAATTACTTTGTGATTTGACGTCGAAGATCTCGATTACTCGGCAAGTAAGTTTCTCGTTAATTTCTTCTTTTGGTTGCTTTTCTTTTCTCTTTTGATAATTTCAGAACATCCAGTAAACAAGTTAAAGACTCGATATCATGTTGCAATTTAAAAGCTTTAAAAATCCATTTTCATGTATTAGTTTACTTAGTGATTAGAAGAAACCTCAACATCATAAAATATCTAGATAATTAAAGTAAGTTTCTTATTAATTTTTTCTTCTAATATTTAATTACTTTTTTCCTTATTTTTTAATTATTAGATTCGTCAGTAAACTATCTTAAGATTTGATATCATCTCATTTGAAATTTCATTATCATTTTCGTGTATTAATTTACTTTATCATTTAGATGAAAACCTCACGGTCAAAATATGTAATTTTTGTCAAAATCTTGTACTTGTACTAAAAAATTCACAAAATATGCATAAAAATTAAATTCAAAATCCAATTACAAATAAATAATATCACTATTCTAAAATTTAGAAATTATTAAATTTAAATTCTGACTTCGTTTTTATCGTCCATATATACGCTTTCCATTATTTTCTTAATCTTCCGTAAGGAAATTTTCCTTGTCCAAAGTTGCAACCCCACTTTCTCTTCGTCAATGAGAAACTAATTTTAATTTCTCCTACAATGATTGGTATGATAATTCACTCAAGGTTTAATTCGTCAAATATAGTGTCCTTAATTGTAATAGTGTCGTAAATTAGAGTCCTAAAATCTAATTAAAAAGAGTCTTTCCACGCATGAGTAGGTGTAATTAACGACAAAGAGTTTGCTTCCGTCACTTCTCTTCCCGCGAAGCGACAACTAACATTTTAAAAAATGCACCTAATTTGCTCCCATTTCACGCTCCTATGTACTTCGTGCTACACACGCTCTCAGGCCACTCAACTTAACTCAATTACAAAGTTTATTATTTATTAGTTAAAGATAATTAAGTAATAAAATTCATTTTAATTATTTACACCATTACTTACTGATTTGATGCAAGTATATAGTACGAGTAAGTAATTATATTTTGTTTTTATTTTTTACCAGTGTCCAGTACCCACTTTGGGCTCAACTAATTCGAATTCATGCCGAGAAGTCTCACTTTAGAGAGTAAAGCGATCTTTACCCAAGGTAAGTCACTTTTAAGGCCTCAAACCCGAGACGTTGATTAAGAATAGAAGATAAGTCACTTTAGCTCAACGTAACAGTATCTTAGAGTACGGGCATACCAAGTTAAGTTTGTACCAATAGGGAAAACTCATGAAAATTAAGGGGAATGTCTTAATTTTCGATTCGAACTGAATTAGCGTAATATAAATGGGATACCTTCTTTGGTATTAGTAAGTAATGTTGCTGCTTAGCATTCGCTGGTAGGATTGTTCCATGTCCTACAATTTATGTTAGCACGGACTTTTCAAATATGTTGTTGTATCCATATCGGATCCTCTAAAAATGTACTACTTTTGGAGGATCTGACAAGCACCCGTCAATATTTTTGAAGAGTCTAAGTAATATAGACTACAATTAAAATGTGTTTTGTATTTTATTTTGAACATTATCCTCAAATAATTGTCCAAAAACACCAAAGGCAACCTAAATTCTATCTGACTTAAGAGCGTGCGGCTATGGATATTCCCATGTTAGGACCCAACGGGCAATCACAAAGTTGAGTGAGAGTGACCTGGTGCGCATACTTCAACCCCTGGTGGG